TTTAACGCAAGTGTAATAGGTGGAAAGTATGCGCCTCTCCTGTGTTTGACAATGTAAATATGCTGCCTGGGTAGCTGCGACAGGTCATTTACAAATAAGTAATTCACTACATGCCTTTTGGCAACTCTTTTGCCCCAGCAAATACAAGGTCGCGTGATGCTTCTGCGATGCGGATCCCCTCATTGAATTTTGCACTCCGCTCAGCGCGTGCCAGCGAACCGATTTTGAACTGACCAACCCCCAAGCCTACCGCAAGGTGCATTACAGCTGTATCCTCGCTGTCAATAGAGCGCCCTGCCATGATGGCTCCCCAGCCTTTGCTTCGCGCATGACTTAACGCTGAAATCGTCTTTGTTAAGGTGCCAGACTTTGCCGGCTTGATCATGATGGCATTGCACAGTAAAGCTGCATCCTCGGACTGCACCAGTCGCGGATCGGAATCCAACAGATCGTCGCTGATAATTTGTACTTGCTTGCCTGACAGCTGCATCAACTTACGATATCCCGCCCTGTCTTCTACCGCCAGCGGGTCTTCAAGTGACATGATCGGAAATTCTTTGATCAACGAAGTCAATGTTGCAATGTAGTCATCTGAAGTCTGACCGCAACCTTCATTTCCGTTCAGCCAGTAATGGCCTGTCTCGTAAAAACCATCTGCTGCGAAATCGATTGCTATGCCAATATCTTTACCAGCCGTAAGACCCGAATGCGCAACGGCTTCGCTTACCATCTCTAAAGCATGGCGAAAATGGTCGTAGCTTGGCCAAAGTCCCCCTTTTTCACAGAGCCCTGTAGGTTTTCCTGCCTTCACCAGCTGATTTTTAATACGCTGAAATATTTCTGCCCCGATGCAGAGTGCTTGCTGATAGTTTTCTGCGCCGGGGGCAATCACCATTACATCCTGTACTGTTGAAGCATAAGATGCATGAGCACCACCGCCGAATATTTCAATTTCTGGCAACGGCATAACGGGTTCAATATATTCTTGTTGAATGTATTTCCATAACGGAATGGCATAGTACCTGGCAGCAAGGTCCGCAACCGCAATAGAAATTGCTGCAGTGTCAGCATGCGAGAGTTTATTATTTTGTGTACTTAAGCTCAAAATAGAGTCAATGATAAGTTGGTCGTCGATACGCTGTCCCAGCAACTGCGGGGTGAGTATTTTGTCAATGTATTGGATTTTACAATCCAGCATTTTATGTAAGTTGGCGCATATGTTTTCGCTATTTAATATTGGGTCAACATAACCACCTGACAGACCCGACTGCGTAATAGCTCTGGCTGAGATCCGTTTATCAATAAAAACCTCAATCTCAAGCGCGGGCAAGCCTGAAGAACTCCAGACCTTACGTGCTATTAATGCAGTGATAGCTGTTTTCACCATGGCTATTGGTCTCGTTGTAACTTGCGGTTAGATAAGTAAGTTCATATGGGAAATGTTTGCCAAAAGAATGCTAAAAGAAAAAGGCTATTAGTCAAAAGATTAATACCTATGAAAATTAGGAGGGTCCCATTAACACCAGAGTTAAAGTGATTATGTTCACATTTAATTTCATAATTAAAAATTATGGCCAAAATATATCTTTTAAAAAAATCATAAAAAACAGCAGGCTGCATTAGCCCCCTACTATTTTTGGCATAAGACAATTCTTAAGTTTTTTTTGCATTTTAAAGAAACGTAAATAAAATGCTTTACATGTTAAATATCACCTTGTAGATTCAAATTCGCTCACTGATACAGCTTGTAAATAACAAACGCCAAAATCCAACCGGACAATGTTATGGCTCTAATGGATACCGATATGCCATTTCCCCATGCTGGGGGAATTGTAGAAATTGATTCTGATGAAGTTGATTACGTGCTTGAGTTAATGAATGGCACTGGCATTGAATTGTTTTCCAGCCAAAATGTAAGACGACTTCAGGGAGGCGTTTCCTCCGATGTATGGCTTATGGATTGCCTGCAAGGGAATAATCTTAAGCGTTATGTTATTAAACAGCCTTTAGCAACATTACGGGTTCAGAAGAACTGGTCAGCCCCGCTAAAACGAGCATTTTATGAGAATTTATGGCTGGAAATGGCCAGCCGTGTGTCAGCGGAAAGTGTTCCTCACGTTTATTATTTTGATGAAAAAAAACCGCTGTTAGTGACTCAGTACATAGACGTTACTGAAGCTGAAGTCTGGCAAAGGCAGCTGTTCTCTGGGCGGTTCGACTTGCTATTTGTTCAACAATTAGGTGAGCAAATTGCCATTTTTCACGAGATGACGGCAGGTAGCCAGAATTATGCCAGAGAGTTTAATAGTGCTGACATTTTACGTGCGACGCGCATTGAGCCATATATCTTTGCACTGATCGACACATTTCCAGACATGAGTGAACGCCTCGTTGAGATTGGCGAGTCGGTTCTGGCGAATCGTATCTCGGTGATACATGGGGATTTGAGTCCAAAAAATATTCTTAATCGTGATTCGAAACCCGTTTTTTTAGATGCAGAATGTGCCTGTTATGCTGATCCGGCTTTTGATATCGCATTTTGTATTAATCATTTGCTATTAAAATTTTATCGGTTAGGGGATGCCCGTTTTATTTTGATGTCCAGACTGCTTGCTACGTCATATCTGCAAAAAGTGAACTGGGAAGATCGTACGGGACTTGAGAAACGGATAGCGGCACTCATTCCAGTACTGATGCTGGCAAGAGTTGACGGGAAGTCAACGCTGCACTATCTGAATGAGTGCCATAAAAATACAATTAGAAAGAAAGCCCTTAACCTTTTAACTAAGAATCTGTTTTCTCTTGATTTCATTTTTAACGAAGTTGCATTCACACATTAGTTTTCATACAGGAAGGATTAAATATGAGCTTAAAACGTAGTGCTGATAAAGCGCGGACTATTCTCCGTGATAATGGTTTTCCTTTTTCTGATGATGTGACCTTAGAGCCTTCGGGGCGTTCATTTCCGAAGGGGGGGCAATATGGTGTAGAAATACCTGCAGTCAATAATCTGATGATGCTGGAAACAATAGTCTCGGCACTGCGCGAAAGCGAAATCTATTGTACCCGGTTTAATGAAACGCATGGCTCTTTTTTGCGTTCCGACCGTGAAATTAAAGAAATGCTACAACTGTGTCATGAAAATAACTATGGCATGCTCTTCGGTCTGGGACCGCGCCCGGAATATGATGTTAAGTCCTCTTTTTACCGTACCGAGTTCGGAATGGAACAGGGTCGCCAGCTCAATAACAATGATGCCATTTCGCACTCCATTGAAGAAGCGCTGCGCTTGAGTGAGCTGGGCTGCCGTGGCCTCATCGTTTACGATCCGGGTGTGCTGTTTATTCTTAATGAGCTTCGTAAAAAAGAGATCCTGCCTGCAAATATGAAGTTTAAAACGTCCTCACATTGCATGGTAACCAACGCTATTATTGCTCGTCTGATGGCTGATGCGGGGGCTGACAGTATTACTACAGCCCATGATCTTTCTCTCGCTACGATGTACGAAATACGACGTTTCAACCCGGACCTGGTGATTGATATTCCGATTGATGTCTATGCATCAAAAGGTGGGTATCTGCGTTTCTATGAAGTGGGTGAACTGGCTCAGATTGCTGCCCCGATGTATCTGAAAGTCGGCGCGAGCGCTCAATCCCATCCTTATGACAGCGTTGGTGCGCCGGTTGCCAAAGAACGTGTGCGTCGCCTGGGCCTGGTACTGGATCATCTTCAGCAGGTTGCACCTGAACTACAAAAAATTGACCACGCAGATCCTACGGTTTGCTTACCACAGCAGATGTAATGGTTGCATCGTAATGAAAGTATCTCATGCCCGCGAGAGCTCCAGCAGTGCTGGGCTCTACGAAATGATGCAAAGAGGATCGGTGTACGTCGACATATTTGGGCCTGAAAAGCCAGGAGCAGACTACATTGAGAAGGCGGTAAGAGAGCTGGCGTTGGCAATGCCACAGCATAAGGTTAACAGTTACTTTATGGCCAAGCCTGAAACCATTGCCAGGACTGATCTGTGCTTATTTTGCTATACAAAAGAGACAAATGAATGTTGTGGTTTTTTAAGCTGCAACGTCGCTGAGATCGCCGGTAAAACATGTATCATGCTTTACACATTGCTGATATCGGAAAAACAACATGGAACTCGCGTCACTTATTCCATATTGCAAAGTCTCTTTTCGACATTGTCTCAAAAAATAGGCCTGGATTATGAGTATATTATTTTGAAAACCGTTAACCCTCGTTCTTTCAAAATACTTGCTTCTTTTTCAGATATTCAAAATTCTGCTTTCTTTCCGCAGATATTATTGAGCAATGATAACGAACTGGCTGACTTCTCTATACAACTGGCTAACTATCTGCATCCTGGATTTAGATATAATAAAAAAAATGGTGTGATATATAACGCAAGTGGTGAAGTGCCTGATGATTTCTATCAACAAATGCCACAATGCCGTGATGCTGTTGTTAATGAGTTTTTCTCCGCCAACCTGACACTGTCAGACCGGATGATCTGTATATTGCATCTTTCTGATGCTAATGCGAGAGCACAGCTATACAGCCGATTCAAAGTCATATAATGATTTTTGGAGAGCGAGTGAAAATTTTTTTCTTTGGAAATATGGCCTGCTACTTGAGCCGCCAGATGCATTTGTGTGCAGAAAAGTACGTTATGACCTTTTTGGATGAGTCTGCGACAGACGCGGAGATTGCCTCTCATTGTCAGAATACAGATATTTTAGTATCCATGGTATTTGACCAGCGTTTTGTAACCAGCAGTCTTAAAAAGGTTCTTGTTCCGGGAATTGGCGTTGATAAAATTAACTTTTCACAATTACCTGAGAATGTTGAGGTTTTAACTTGTGCAGCACACGAGATGGCCGTATCGGAATATATTCTCAGTTACGTCATCTCATATTTCCGAGAACTGGATAGTATTGGGGAAAGGTTTAAATCCAGCTATGACTGGCGGGATTGTTCACGGCTGGGAGTCATTGCGCGAAAACAACTCAATGAACTCACTGTTGGTGTTATCGGTGGTGGGAGAATTGGTCGCAAGGTGATTGAGGTTTTTTCGTTCTTTGGCTCATCCTGTCGCTGCCTGACGCGCTATCCATACGAAACCTCAGGTTCAGTTTTGTTTTTCCCACGAACTGAACGGGATGACTTTATCCGGGGATGTGATGTCGTAATTGTCGCTTGTGGTGTTGATAAAGATACCCAAAATATTATTGACCAGCACGCCATCACTATGATGGAGCCG